TCACTCATCTTCCGTGTAGATATTTTGTCTATTTTAAATTTTCTCTTATTTCCTCTGTCTCCATTTTTTGGCCCTTAATCCTAGTATGAACTTCAGACCACGGGCTGCTGCTCTTCCTCTCCCACCAGTTCCTGCTTCACTGTTTGCTCTGTGTTTGTGTGCTGCATCAGCCCCTCTTTCTGAACCTCTGCTCATGGCCCTCTGCACCAGCTTTGGGCCAGCCACCCTGGGTGTGGCCCAGGGAAAGTTTGCTTTTGCTGTCTCTCATCTCAGTTTCCTCATCTTTTCCCCTTCCCAAGCCCTCTCTTGGTGTTAAATAAATAAAATCAACATATAGGTGCTGCCCACCCATCAATTTGTAGGGGACTTGTCCGACCTTAGAGGACTGTGGAGATGGCTTTGGAGGAGAGTGCATTGCCTGATAGGTAACTAGAAGATAGATGATGAAGTTATGAGTGAGATAGTTGAGAAACTTTTACAAAATTATGAGAGAGTAAAAATATAGTAGTGTGAGTAAAAGAGGGGAGCTGCAAGAAAGTCTGGCCATTGCCAGGCAGGGGCACACGCCTGCGATCCTGTACTCCTGGAGGCTGAGGCAGGAGGATCAGAGAGGCTGCCTGGGGCAGCTTAGCTAGACTGGAAGTGTAGCTCAGCACTAGAGCCTTGGCTGGCAGGCATGAGGCCCTGGGTTCAGTGCCTCGCAGTGCAGGGAAAAAGAAGGAAAGCGAGCCCGGCCCTTCGCTAGCTGGTCAGGCCAGTTAGGAAAGGGCTCAGCGCGGGAAGGTGCCTCCCCTCTTCCTGCCAGGTCCCTGCCAGTCTGATTGGTGTGGTCAGGCTGTGTGTTCCCAGTGTGTGTGTGCTTCTGCAACATGACCTTGGCAGACTTGTGGCAGGGTCCAGCCGGCCTCTGATGCTGCCTGCTCAGCACACTCTGTGACTCCTGTCTCCCTCGTGCTGCAGAGGCCCTGTCTTCTGTCCCTGCACCAGGTGTGCCCAGACAGACTGGTACAGTCTCCCCTCAGGGAGCTTTCAGAGCTCTAGCCTTTGCAAAGCACAGAGGCTGCAGTTTCCCAGCCAGGGAACAAAGGATAAGCACTCTCTGGGGGCAAGGTCTCTTCGCCGCGGGTAGGCTATGCATTTTTCTTTAAGCTCACACAGTCTCTCCTCTTTCTTTTACTGTATTTTCATTGGTCAAGATAATAGGTTGTTTGTGATTCTTGTGGTTTGTTTTTTCATTGTCCCAAATTTATTGACATTACAGCATAGCAAAAAGATTCAAACAGCTCCATGTGGTGTTTTGAAATTCATCCCGACTATGGTAGGCTGTGTGACCTACAGGTTGGAGAGGCTGCCTAAGGCCAAAAGCTTCAGCGTTTCCTCCATGTCAGGATCTACTTCAAGGATTTCCTGAGCCAAGGCTGAGGCGTCAGGGACGTAATTATCTCGCCTTTCTCTCTCCTCCTGCGATTTGATGGAGATACCCCACACAGGGCCATTCTGCATTGCTTCATCGTGTGTGTGACAGCCTGCTACCTTGTCGTGGAGCTTCTTGCTGGGGATAGTGGCGATTTCCTCACACACGCGCTTGTTGGTGTGGAAGTCGTTTCCCAGGCGCGTATAGAACTTCTCAATGATGACGTGGGCTGCCTTCTTCACTATCTTGGTACGCCGCCATCCATGCTGATGGATCCCAAGGAAAGAGCTTTTTTTTTTTTTTTTTTTTTTTTTTGGTATTTTAGGGAAGGCTGTACAGGGTGTTCAAGGTCTCAGTTTGCATTTTCTTTTCTTTTTTTTTTTTTTTTTTTTTTAAATTTTTTTTTTTTTTTTTTTTTTTTTTTTTTTAAGACAGGATCTCACTTTATATTTCAGGCTAGCCTGAAATCTTCTGATTCTGAATGTCATATATTTATGTCTTTTATAATTTTATTTTATTTTTTGTGGTACCAGGGATTGAACTCAGGACCCTGCGCTTGCCAGGCAAGTGCTTATTCTATTGAGCTATCTCCCGGGCCCATGAGGATTTTTTTTTTTTTTATTGGCTGGTTCAGCCTGGCTTAAGGGCGGGTCTGGTAATGCAGGTGGAGGTGGGGATCAAACCGAGGTATCTTGCACCTGACTACATTTGCATGAGCAGGCGCTTAAACACCTGAGCTAATGGGAAGGCCCTCTATGTTTTCTAGATTACAGAAATACTGGCTTTGTAGAATGGGAACAGTTAATAGATAGAAATGTTTATTTTTATTTTTATTTTTTGGCAGAACCAGGGATTGAACTCAGGCCCTTGTACTTGCCAGGCAAGCGCTTATTCTACTGAGCCATCTCCCTGGCCCCTAGAAATGTTTATTGAAATAGTAAGATTTGGGAGCTAGGGAGAGGGCTCAGTGGTGAAGCACCCGCCTGGCAAGCACAAGTTCTCAGGACCAAAAAAAAAAGAAAAAAAGAATAAGGTTTTAAAATGTACAAATAATACTCAGCTTATAGACTATATACCTGGCAAAAATGTTTAGAACAAATTTTGATAACATTTGATGAACAAGATGGGGGAAACATGGGCGGGCCTGCGCTCTGCCTAGTATTTTATGCTTTTCACCAAGTCTGTGTGTAAGCCCTGCAGCTGACTCCTAGAAGGGCGTGCCTTACTGCCATCCCTGTTTATAGTTGCTGAAAGTAAAGGCCAAGGCCAGTGTGCTAGACCCAGATTGAAATCCAGAGTCTGCATACCTCAGTACTATTTCTTCTGCAAGCCATTCAGGTCAAAAGTTTTATGATTCTGTAATAGTAAGAGAGAAAAAAATTTTTTTCAAATGTATTTGGTACAGGGTCTCACTGTGCAACTTAGACTCGTAGTGATCTTCCTGTTTTCAGCCTCCCCAGCACTGGGATTTCAGGCACGTGCCACCATGCCCATTCTCGGTGCCCGGCCCATTGTGCCTAGGGGCAGGGCTGGTGTGGCATGTGATCCGTGGGATCGAACCCCAGTCCCTGCAATTGCCAAATCAGGTGCTTAGTCTGCTGAGCTGTCTTTCTGGCCCTTGATTCTGTAATAATAAGAGAAATTTAAAGTGCTTGAATGAGAAATAGAGGATGATTGAGTTCTTCACCAAACTACTCACAGCAAATCTAAGCACTCACTGCCTTTGATCTGAGCCTCTTTCAGTGAGTTTGACCAGCTGTGTGCTGGACACTGTTCTAAGTCCTGGAGGTAGAGTTGAGTAACACAGAACAGAGCTTGTGTTCTATGGAGTGAAAAGAAGTGACAATTAAGTCAGCATACAGTGGTGCAACAGCAAGAGCTCTGAAAAAAATGAAGGGGCGATTGTCTTGGAAGCTGGGAGTGACTCTTGGAAGGTCTGAGCAAGCCTCTCCTCAGGTCGCATTTGGGCCCGCACCTCCGGAGTGAGGAGGAGACAGGCCTGTGCAGCATGGGAGTTTCATTGCAGGCAGAGGGAGCTGGAGAAAGGCATTCCAGGGAGCTCAGGCATGGCCTGGGCGGCTGCAGGGTTGCTACGGGGCGTGGGGGGATAAGGGCTCTTCTAAACCAAGGCCCTGGGTTCCAGGACTGGCAGCTTTCTTTTGCTGATTTCATGTTAAAATGACCTTGATTGATGTTGTGAGAGTAGGCTGTCAGAGCTACTTACATGTCTTATGTCTGTCTAGAGGCATACTAGGCTTTAGCTTGGTTTTACTTTTGCAACCAACCTAAAAGATGATAACCCTGTGTGAGTCTCAGATAGCTGAAACAAGAAAATGTCTCAGCCGTGAAACCTGGTGGTCTGAAAGCTGGTGCAGTATACCACAGCCTCTTTCCAATGGGAGGGCTTTGGCCAGAGGTTAATGTGTCCGACACAGTGGCCTGCAGAATTGTTTTTCCTAGAGGAGACATTTAATTTGAATTGTTTAGAGTCTCAGATATTGCTTTCATTCACTCTCTTTCTCTTCTTTTTTCCATTCCTGTGTTTATCACTAAATCATGTAAACTCCTTTATTTGGGAGTGGCTTATGATGTACAGGCTTTCAAAACTTCTTTGTTCCTGATTCTTAGAATATCTCTTGTATCATAATTCATCGGGAAGTAGTCCTGTTATAACAACGCAATCCAGAATGTCCCTTGGGCTTGAAATTTTAGGTAAATTAGCATCCTGACCACTAATAAAAATGAAATCTAGAGGTGAATTTACATAAAATGTAAAGACTAGGTTATAGGCTAGAGTCCAGGGTTAGTCTGTCCATATCAACTGTGATTGTCGTCCTTTCGCCAGCTGAATCTCGGGTGTCCTGTTTTCATGTGTGACCTGTTCGTGAAACTGGGCCTGAGGGCCTGAGAGGGAGATTCATTCCTAGAGAAGACAGGAGGTCATGTAAGATGCTTCCTTAGCGTGGTGTCTAAAGGGTGCGTACATATTAGTGTAGTTTATTTTCTCTCAGAATTCATTGTGTAACCATCTGGCTTAAATCTAGAGAGCATCTATCCATTTGAGGCAGAAGATTCGCCAGTGAGGAAATCGAGACATCTTTTTCATGGCATCGAGGCCATGCAGACGTGTTGCTGGCCAAAAGTATCTTTTTTACTTTTCCCCATCTTTATAAAATAGGAGAGCAGAATCTAAATAAGAATACTTTTTTATTTTTCTCACTTTACAGTTAGCAACAGAACTCCTCAAAGAAAATTGCAGATGCCCAGCATTAAAATATGTGGCTACACAAACAAACTGAATGTATGTGCCTGCAGGCCACAGGCTTCCTCTTTTCTGAACCCGGTGCTCCTGCGGGTCAGCTGGGGACGGCAAGGCCTTGCAGAGCACGGGGTGAGAGCACCGCATGAGAAGCCCTGCGCGGAGCTGGCAGAGCAGCCGAGCTGGCGTGCCCAGGCAGCCCTGGGAAAGCAGGCAGCACGCGCAGACTCCACCTCGAGGGCATCTGGGTGGCGCTTACCATAGGAATCACCAGTTTTGAAGTTACCTTTTTTGGGGGAACACACATTTCTTTGAAACTTGGGAGTGATGGTGCTACTGGTACTAACACAGTTTTTGGTAACCAACTTAAAAAGTGAATTTCAGGTTGGCTAAGTTTCCTTTTTTCATAAATTGCTTAATTATAATTAAAGGCATGACATGTTTTATGTTTCATTGGAAAATAACTGATTTCCTGTTTCGATTTTTTTTCTTCTAGTTTGCCAGGGTTTGGATTCCTGACCCTGAGGAAGTCTGGCGCTCAGCAGAGCTGCTGAGGGATTACAAACCTGGGGATAAAGCCCTCCTGCTGCGCCTGGAGGAAGGGAAGGTAAGAGCTGCACTCTTGGTACTGTTCAGCAGAACAAGCTCACTATGACTTACTTAATCCCAGCAAGAAGTTAAATTTTGAACTAATCTTTTGTTTACTAAATTGATAAAAATGACAAACTCTTTTCCAGTAGAGTTATCAGTGATATAGATTAGTGAACACAAATCATCATGTGGCATGTGCTTTTACCTCCAGTACCCAGTAGGCTGAGGCAGGAGGATTGCTGTGAGTTGGAGGTCAGCCTGGACTAACTAGTAAGTTCAAGGCCACCTGCAGTATACAGTAAGATCCTGTCTCCAAGAAAAGCCAGATATAACTAAAGTAAATATTTTTAAAGAATCCATTGTTTAGGCCTATGGATTTATTATAATTATCAATATGGTTTCTAATCACATCTGATCCTCCTAAAGATACACCTGTGAAACAGTATTTTATATTGAGACTAGCATTACAGTTATTTTATCCTAATTAAGGAAATGTTGGGCCGGGGAGTTAGCTCAGTAGAATAAGCGCTTTCCTGGCAAGCGCAAGGGCCTGAGTTCAATCCCCGGTTCAACCAAAAAAAAAAAAAGAAATGTCTCAGATGCCAGTCTAAGATTTGATAGTTACTGCAACTAATTACTTGAGAAATATTTTCTATAAAACTTTTATTTGTGAAGAATTTACCAGCCACCAGAGGAGCTTAGAGCCAGTTGTATGTCTACACTCCCCATATCTCCTCTGTGAGTGAAGTTGTGTTAGTTACACCATCGTTTTTTGGGTTTTTTTTTTAGAATTAAATGAAACAGCCAGAAAAATAGCTCAGCAGTGCAATGCCTGCCTGGTAGTACAAAGTCCTAAGTTTGATTCCCAGTACAAAAAGGAAAAATAAATGAAACAGTTTTTTTTTTTTTTTCAGTCTTTTTAGAATGGGAAAAACAAATGATATAAAATCACTCATAAAAACTGCTGTCCTGTCACCTCAGGCCATTTCCAGTGTTCCGAAGTTCAGTGTGGATGCCAGCTCTAGCCGTCTGGCTTCCCCCATACTACGCCCGCCCTCCTGCTTCATGTCCTCCCACACGACCTGACAATCCCAAGCCCGGTGCTGGCTGTGCCTTCTTCAGCTCCACCTCACCTGCTGCCTCCCCAGCCTCTCTCCTTTTTGATTTTTTTTCCGGAACCTGGGATTGAACTTCTTCGACTGAGCAAGCTCCCAGGCCCCCAGCTTCTCTCCTGATGTGTGCTTCTATTGTGTTGTGCCTCCAGTTGTTTACCTCTTATTCCACAGAGATGTCAGGGATCACGCCTGCTGCTGCCTCTTAGCAGGCACACTGTGGTGACTTCCTTGGGGTGTATGCTGAATCAAACACACACCTTTCTAAGCCTTCAGTCCAGCTGGCTTCTTCCATTCACTGTCCATGGCTGTGCGACATGCTCCAGCCGTCACGGCAGTGGGGTCTTGGGCTGCTTTATCCTGGAACTTTGGCACACAGCCCGGACTTCCCCTTCCTTTACCCCCACTCACAGCCAGCGTAGTTGGAGGACAGTAACACTAGTGAGAAAACAGGGCTGCCTGACTGATTCTACCTCGATTCCACCCACTTTCCAGTGATGCCTTTTTTCTTTGAACCCTGGGTTCCATGTTGCATTAGTCACCTCCAGTTGGTGACATCCTCTGTCTTTTCTTATCTTTCCTCAGCCTGGAGGTTTTGAAGAGTACCTGTCATGTGAACTGTAGGGTGTCCCCTTGTGCCCTTCCCTCACCATTAGATGGAGGTGATCATGTTTTGGGAGGGTTGCCCCAGAAGTGATGTGTCGCTAGTGCCCTGTGTCAGAGGCTCTTGGCCAGGCGATGTCTGCCGTGTTTCCCACTATAAAGCTCCTGTTTTTTTCTTTTAGTTAAGAAGTGTCACTATTTCCTGGGAGATATTTGGACTACACAGTGTCCTGTTGTTCCTAAAACCTTGTCCACTCATCTGTCACGTACTGGCCATTGCTGAGTCTCCCTTACAGGAGGTAGCTCTGGGTGTTTGAATGTTACTTCTCCACTCCTCTCCTTCCTTCCACATTTGTTAGCTGGGATTCTTCTATAGAGAGGTGTTGTCTCTTCTTCCCAGTTATTAATTAGTTCAGTCACTAGATAGCATATGGAATAGAGAATATTTGTTTCATTGTTGATGACTATTATTTGTTCTTTCCAACTAATCCTGCTTCGGTCATTGCGAGCTGTCTTAGATTGGTTCCTTTACCCTCGTGACATGCCCTCAGCCTTTTTTTTTGAAAGCACTTTCTTATACTGCAGGATACTTAAGACCCAGTATTGCAAAAGCAAAACAAAACAAAACAAAAAAACCCAAAACAAAACAAAAGCAGGACTCAAGATATGCAAGACTTGTATTTTCCCACCACAGGCACTTTTTATTGGAAGATGATATTAACATCCAAGATCTGGTCACTAGCTGTGCTCATTGCACGTGGACAGCACCATTTCTAGAGCTCTTGGCAGAAATAGGAAATATAAACACTAATGTATAGATATTCATATCATGAGTTCACAGTCCAGCACACTCAGCACTATAGGGTTAATTTTGTTATTCTTAATTCGTTACATGTGTAAAATTATTTCAGAATTAGTGATCTATACCCCTAGAAGGAAGCAATTTACTAAAGTATATTTGTCTATATTTATTAATCCTGAACTTAAAAAAAAAAAACTCCGGAAGTAAAATGGCATGTATAATTCATAAAACCAAATTTTAAAAACAGGAGACAGCAAGAAGAATAGATATGACAAGATTACCAACTCTCCAAGGGTCATTTCCATTTTAG